CAATATATAAGCAGTTTCAGAGCAGTCCAGTCAGCAGATATAAGACAAAGATGTTTGGAAGTGTTTGGACTAGATTCCTAGACCTTTGAGGCCTTAGAGCATGTCAGGAGGCATGTCAATATTGTGAATCTTAGTTATACTCGAGTGAATGTTTTATAAACCCCCACACAAACACATCTGATTTCCCTTTCTTGTCTATTTTTCTTTCTTTTTGGATTTTATTTTTTTTAAATCATATACATACAAATTGTATGCTGGTTGTTAACTACTGGGATTCTGAGCAGATTATGTCAGGATACAATTTTACTTAAATAAAAATGTTGGTGCATATTTGTGCATTTAGAAGGGAGAGAAAAGTAAATGGATGAGAAGAGAAGAAAAAGATAGATTGGTTTTGTATAGATAATATAATTAGTTGCAATGATATAAAATGACCCCCCCCCCAGTTTTTTGAGTACAGGTACAAAAGATATACACAGAGTTCAATCAAAGTCATCCAGCAAACTCATGAATAAGACATAAGGACGACTTTCACTCATTCATGATATTGTACTACTACTACTCCTCATCAACATCATCATACTCACCAGCTAATACTGAAGATATACTGTTTGCGAGTCAGGAGATAGTCATCACAAGTAGCCATTTAATAACCCATCCTCCATAATTTTGTTTAGTCCTCTTTTAAATCCATTCAAATTGTTTGCCATCTTAATATGATGGTACCTAATTCCATATTTTTATTACACTTTGTGAATAAATACTTCCTTTTCAGTCTGGAAACTGTCAGCATTTAGTTTCAATATATGATCCTAAATTCTAACATTGTGAAAGAGGAAGAAAACCTTTTCTTCATCCATATTTTCCACTCCATGCTATTACATCCTATCATGTTGTATGCTTAACAAACAAACAAAAAAACCAAACAACCCCAAACTATAATTTTTCTTCATAGGGGAACATAATACCCCTATGAAGAAAAAAACTGCCTTTCTTATCCTTTTTTAACATTTGCTGACTAGGATTATACACTGTATTCAAAATGCAATCACACCTATGAGTTTTATCAGGGTATCTCTTTCCTAATGATTCTTAGCATGGAATTTGCCTTTTTTTACAGCAGCTGACATTTTCACTGACCGATCCACATTAGTCCAAAATTCCTTTCCAAGATAATTCACTGCCAGCTCTGACCTCATTAATCTGTATGTGTGCATGTAAGTGGGTGCCAATGTGTATCACTTTGCCCTTGTTGACATTGAACTCCATTTGTCATTTTAAAGGAGGAGGAATAGGATGTATCTGTTTTTTCTGTCTGATCTTGAAGGACATATCCCCCTAAATCCTGTACTTCAGGAGAGCCTCTTGGACAGTAGGATTATGCCTTAGAAACTTAAGTTCAAGAAAGGAAAAATAATACTACCACACAGATGCCTCTTAAAAAGAGAAAGGTGGGAGAAACTAAGCTAAGAATCAGTGCAATGTCTCTCTAGGAAGCTCCAAACCATAGGCACAGCAATCAAAATGTTCATCTCTCGTGTCCCAACCAAAAATTCATTGGAAGCTGATAAGATGTTCAAGAAGGCTTTGCTGATTGTTTTATAAGCAAGTGCCCTTCAAGTAAGTCGACTGTCATCCATATGGAAATTATTTTCAAATTTTCCTTGTTTTGATATTTGACGGTTTTCAAACTGATGGGTACACAAACTGAAATGTAGAATTGTGTTTTGAACACAATTCCACTATTTCATTGTTCAGCAAAACTATCATATTACAGGTAGGCAGGTAGCCAGATTAAGCTTTATTTGAACTAAGTGGTTTCATATCATTCAGCCAATCAGTTCTTTGCACTACAAGTATGGTGAGGAACTTTCATACCCCACATCCCATACTGCTGAAACATAATTCCCACAACCCAACTGGCATAGTTAATTGTGAAAGATCCTGGAAACTATAGCCCAGCAACCTTTGGTAGACCATAATCTTTCCACACTTATGCTAAAGATGCCGTTTTGATAAAGAGCTTCTTGTCAGAATACTTGATTTGCTGGTGGCTCCAGTTTTTAACAGATGGTAGGCCTTCTGAAATTTCAAAATCTATTCATAGCGGAGCCAGACTTAATATATCTAAAATTCTCTATCTCAACCAAATAATCTGCTTCC